AAATGCTCACTATATTCTCAAACAAATCTCCATGACAATCTCTAGCTACAGCTTAACACTTTACATTTCGAACTAATGCGATCAAATAGTTAATAGCTACAGTAAATCATCATGTACCGTATCAACTAGCTACTAGCTATATTTATTATCATTACAATGTGCAAAGTTAGCTACCATATCAAGTAACCCTTTGCCCATAGTTGAGCATAACAAATGCCAGCAAACAAGATAAATAATAAATTGAGAATTTAAAAACATGCAAATATGGATCGTAAAAAAAGTAAGGAAACAAAGCTAGAGATACTGTAGACAGTATTTAATCATACTATAAATCCCTATTCTGACTCCACCAAATACAGTTCTAGGTAACAGCATAACTTTTAATTCATTTTGTGAATTTAAAACTAACATACAAAGCCTAAGCTGATAAACATAATGAGAAATTATTGGGAGTATGATGAAAATATTGTTCACATGGAGTATATTCTAATCATTATTGTTTTAGGTTTTCTTGTGAAGTTATTGATAATTGTTTAATGATAAGAAAATAAATTGCAAAACAGTTCAGCCATTTCATACGTTTTGATTTTTTTATTATACCGACCTCACTAAATTAGATAAAATTACATCATATTACTAATGTGTATAAAGAAAACTTGACAATCGTGAAAAGATCAAACATGAAAGACCTGACTACAATAGAAAACGTAGGGATGGCACCAAAAATTATAACAATAAATCATGGAATATAGTAATGAGATGTAGGGGTAAAACAGAACAGTCTATAATTGTGTTACTAATAGTGTATGTATTTACCACGTAGATCAGAATTAAACACAAACCAAGTAGAGAATACAAGTAGTTTAATATTGAGATCAAAGCACGCTACCACGTAGATCAGAATTAAACATAAACCCAGTAAAGAATACAAGTAGTTTACTATAGAGATCAAAGCACGCTACCACGTAGATCAGAATTAAACATAAACCCAGTAAAGAATACAAGTAGTTTACTATAAAGATCAAATCACGCTACCATGTAGATCAGAATTAAACATGAACCCAGTAAAGAATACAAGTAGTTTACTATAGAGATCAAATCACGCTACTACGTAGATCAGAATTAAGCATAAACCCAGTAAAGAATACAAGTAGTTTAATATTGAGATCAAAGCACGCTACCACGTAGATCAGAATTAAACATAAGCCCAGTAAAGAATAAAAGTAGTTTACTATTGAGATCAAATCACGCTACCACGTAGATCAGAATTAAACATAAACCCAGTAAAGAATACAAGTAGTTTACTATTGAGATCAAAGCACGCTACCACGTAGATCAGAATTAAACATAAACCCAGTAAAGAATACAAGTAGTTTACTATTGAGATCAAAGCACGCTACCACGTAGATCAGAATTAAACATAAACCCAGTAAAGAATACAAGTAGTTTACTATAGAGATCAAAGCACGCTACCACGTAGATCAG